CACTTGGAATACGTAATTCGATATTAAAAGCCTGGTGGGATTTGCCATCCCAACGTACTGAAGTGTTTATGGACACCCTTACCAAGGCAAGGCTGGGGTGCCCGGTGGGTTGGCAGGTGCTGGCTTCCCTATCTGCCCTCAAGAGCAAGTGCCTGCCCAGGCCTTTGCCAGCGACCCTTGCGCAGATAAATGGTGAGAGCAAAGGGGAATTATCTTCACTACCAGCAGATCCATGCACTGACTTGTAGAACCAAACTGCTTGCTGGAAAAGCCACCTTTTCCCTGACACCAATATGATTTGATGTATTAGCACCGGGCTGCTGAAGCACTCGGTGCAGGGAGAAAAACTGGGAAGAGCTCACGATCCAACCTTACCTCCCAGTTTCACTCAGAAGATTTACAGTACTGATCAAAAGTTTGTCATATTTTAAATTGCACATATCAGAGTTGCCTGTTGAGCTTGAAAACACAGCATATACGACTGCAAAACAAACTTCCCTCTCAAAGTCCACCCTGCAGCTTTCCTGTGCTGCTCTAGAAGAACCTGTCACAGCTCAGGCTTGAAATGTGCTGAACTACTGCCATGGGACCAATATGGTCTCTGGTTTCCACACTGCCACCTGTTTAATTGATTTTATTTATCTCTTCATCTCATAATTGCAAGCCTTTCCAAAATGTTCCCTTTTGTGCTGCTTCTCCACAGGACTGAGTACAATGAGGTCCCAGTTGTTTCTTGAGGCCTGTCAGCACTATAAGGGACATAACCATTAAATAAAGCAGTTTGGGGGTAAACAGCTGGCTGTCACTTGGTGACTAATTCATCCTTAGGCACTTCAAACTTTGTGCTTCGCTGTAATGTAAAAGCAAAGCATTGCAGATTGCCCAACTGCAGCTGTCACGGGGAGGACGTGATGTGCTCGTGCAGCTGCCTCAGGGCATCGCCACAAAATCAGTGCAAAACCTGGCACAGCAGCCAGCTCAAAAACTCCATGGCTTAGAGCTAAGGTTTGGATTGCAAAGAGGAGAAGAGCACCAGCTCTCTAATCCTGTGTAATTCTGTAACAATGAAAGGTTTCTTGCTGAGTGTGTTAGACGTAGAAAACTGTTCTGCAGCCTTATGTATTTATCAGCCCGAGTGTACAAGAGCCTGAGGTTTTATCAGGGAATGGAAGGGGCAGCTCTTGGAGATGCTCCAAACGAAGGCAAGTACTGCCCAGATACAAAAAGAAAGTGAAAAGCAGAAAAGGAGAAGCACTGAGAATAGGATGTACTTTGGTTTCCTTTTCTAAAACCTCTCGAGTTGGGTGAACCAGCTCTGTGTCAGCACAGTCATAGCTCAGTCAGTGTTTCCTCTGCAACCAGCGCTGCAGCTGCTTTCACATTTGCTTCAGATCCTTCTCTGTTGGCTCGTAACCACCTTAACCCACAGCTTGACGCAGCCGCTCTGGTTTAGCCTCTATTTGTTTGGAATTCTGTTAGTAATCATTTATTCCAAGTGGGACTCCCAGTCCATTTATCACTGTCATCATGTTACAGCAGCCAAACCTCCTTTTTCCCCCAAAAATAGAAGGTTTTTGGCGCCCGTGTCTCTCTCCAGAAATGCAGAGTTCCAGGCTGTCTGCTGCTTTTCAGATTTCTCAGGACTCTGTGTGGGCTTATGAGCAGAAATTTCAGGATAGAAAAATCAAGTAATTCCTGCTTTTTATAAGCCATAACTATCTTCCCATATTAGTTTATTGGGAATCCAGAAAACAAAACTGTGCAAGCACAAGTGCCAAGTGAGAGGCGAATTTCACACCAAATTTCAAGTCCAAACCAAAAGCTATTCTGTCCTCTCCTTGGCCATGGATGGAGGATGTTTTGCCTGACAAACTCCACAGCCCCATGTCCTCTCACCCATTGTGAGGAAGGAAATGGGTCTCCAAACCTCTTTCACAACACGCCTTAAATAAGTCCTGGCAACCAGTTGTTACAGCAATCTGTTAGAGATCAGCCAGTGCACTGAAGCAGCCAGCAAGGGTCAGCCTAGGACAGTCCAGCACAGCCTGTGTTGTTCAGGAAGATTGATTAAATCGAGCACCTTCTCTTAAAGAAGAGGAGTTTGTCTGAAGCCCAACAAACTCTGGTTGCAGCTACAGGTTTCCTTTTGAGGAGGATTTTGATCTGACCCCGCTATGGGGCCCAGGCTCTGCCTTTCCTATAATGTAACAGAGATGTGACTGTCAACTAAAGAAGATGTGGAAGACCCACCTCTGCCCCAGTGCTCAAGTCATTAGGAGGGAAGCAATCCTCCTTTCCATCTGTATTCCACAGCGTATCCCTGGCTTGCCTCCATGGCACAGCCTGCTTGGAGAGCTCTCCTCCTGTCAGGGCTTCCCTGGGACTCATCTAACTCTTGTTGCATAAACTCTGGAAGCATGTTTATAAGAGAGGATTAATTTAGGCACAAAACCTTCTCCACCCTTGACAGCAGAGGCTCAAAAGGAGCTTTCTCATTTCCAGGTGAACAATAAACCCGGAGGCTCTCAGCTCAAAATTTGCGTAATGGCAGAGCTTGGGTGGCCACTGTTATCGAGATCCCAGCGACTGCAACCATTCCTCTTTGGTTTTCATCCCTGCCAGGCTCCTCACAGCACATCTGTGAGCTGCAGAGACTCTCCTGTGTCCATACTCTGGACACACAGCACAGCCTCCTTCCCTCCAGCCCTGGGATACTCTGTATCATGGGATGTAAGGACAGATGGCAGGAATCAGATGAGACAGGGAAACAAGATACCACCTACCAGGCTACCTGGGCTGCCTGCCTTCTTCACAGCTCACAGGCATGTTTCTAGCAGAGCAAAGGGTCTTTGTTCTGAACTAAAAGCCGAATTCCTCCTGCTGCTACTGTCTCTAATAAGGAGTGCTCTCACTTCTCTAGTTCTTCACAGCCACCAGATTTTTTGTGCCTATGAGACAGTGGAACATCTCAGGCTTCCTAATCATTCCCCCATCCTTCCTCTCCCTGCCTTTCTTTAACCACCATCTTTTCCTGTGTTTTCCACGAGCCCATTTTGCCTCGTAGCACGTGGTGGTGCTGCAGTTAAAAATACCATGGACACAACATCAACAGCAGCACCTGACCAGTGATGGACCAAGGGCTGGCCAGGGGCCAGGGCATAGAGATGGTGAAATGTGAGTTCATGATGAGAAAACAAGAGCAGCAGCCAAATCCCCTCAGATCCTGGCAGCAACTACAGCTCAGACCGAGCCCTGACAGAGCAGCTCACACTTGTGAAAAGTAGGCCTGCTGCTCCAGCTTCCTGGTGGCCCCAGAGCTCCATCAGGGACTACTCAGGAGACCACACACGGCTCTGAGCTGCAATAATGGGAGCTGCTGATAGCAGCTACCAGCTCAGAGGCAGCTCACAAAGGTTCCAGCCCAGCATCATCCAAATATAGGCCCTGTCAGCCCAACAGCTGTCACACGACAAGCCCTAGTCCACATCTCACCACAGACAGGCCATTAATTTAATGCACATCTGCAAGCCCTGCCCGATTCAGCCTCAGTTCAAGCAAAGGGAACACAATAAAACAAGCTCTGCTGCCCTGCTGCCCACGTTATCCTGGGCAGCACATCCCTGGGCAGCTGAGAGCCAAAGGAGGTGCCACAGAGTCCCAAACACAAACCAGTGCATCAGCCACCTTGGACATTTTCTTCTGAATGTTAGCAAGAGAGAACACAGGTTCCTCATGGGAGGGCTGAGAAACAAGGTAAAAGTTACAATAACTCCTGTCCTATCCCTGCACATTTACGATGGATAAAAATATGCTGAGCCACACTCCTATTTCCACAACTACCTCCAACTGCAGACCACAGATCTTCATAGCAGTTGTCCAGAGGAGAATCACTCACACTAACAATGACCTCAGCACTCCCAAGGCCATCCTTGGAGCAATGCTCCAAGCTCTTGGTGCACTGGGACTGTCTGGTATCCTCTCAGATGAAGGTATTTTTGCAGGACTGCAAACAGAGGAGGTTCCTCAGACAGGAATGACAAGGCATAACTCTGCCTCCTCTCATGATATTTAGGTTCTCTCTAAATATCCACATTCTCACTACACATGTCCAAGGTCAGCCAGTCCTCTTATGCCCCAGGAAGGTTTTACTGACCTTAAGAGCCTCTGAGAAACCCTCACTGGAGACTGAGCATTGCTTGAGGGTGCAGGGTGGAGAAAGAGAGCAATTCTTTCAATTCCAGAACATTTCCTCTGCCCACAGACAATCCCTTTTAAAGTGTTCTTCAGTGCCCTGGGTACCTGCCCCAAAGAGGAGGGACAGGGTTTGTCAGCCAAAGCCATGTCACAGTGGATGCAGTGGGAGCACAGAGGTCCACGCACACGGGCACTACTCAGAGGTGAAAAAGCAACAGTCTCACCCATGCAGCTCCTGGGAGGCACCATTTGACTTTGTGTCTGTTAATAAAGTTTTGGATGCTCTAGAAATCCCTGTGCCCATGCACAGGGCAGATGCTGGGCTGAAACATCACTGCAACTGTGAAAAGCAGCCTGAAAGATCCAGCTGCACTCAGGCAGTTGGGACATTTGCTCAGGCAAAGCAGAAACAGAAAATTAGTGAAGAAGCTGACCTAGAACCCTCCTTGGGGAAAAGGGGCAGGAAATGGTCAAGTGACCAAAGAAAATGAGGGTAAACTACTGACAGGCAGGATTTAGAGACTGTTTAGACTCTTTGGAGAAACAACCAAGCCAGGCCAAGCAGGGTGGTGAGGTAGAGCCAAGCCAGGCAGAGAAGTAAAGCAGTCCAGGAGGCTGGTTTGGGTGAGGTTTAGGAGGTTGGTTTGGGTGAGGTTTAGGAGGTTGGTTTAGGTGAGGTTTAGGAGGCTGGTTTGGGTGAGGTTTAGGAGGGTGGTTTAGGTGGGTGAGAGGCCAAGCTGGGCTGGGCTGAAGGGTAGGTGGGAGCAGAGGCTGAGGCAGAGCCAGGCAGTGACAGCCATACTCACTCAGGCACTGCAGACCACTTTTATTCAAAAGAGGTTTGGCACACAGTGAGCAGCTGGTGCAACTGGAGAAAACCCCTGGCACAAGCTGGTGCCCATTGATCTCTTTCCACCTCTCTTTTGGCTCCTTTGTGTCTTTCTCCTTCTCTCTCTCCTTTGGCTGCTCTTTGTTCTTACCCTGGAAGGAGAGAAGAACACAGCTCGTCACAGGCCTTGCACTGACAACATTCCTTTCCCTGCTCCTACAGAGGAGTGTGCAGGAAGCAGGGGGGTTCAGGTACAGTGGGATGGCAGTTGCTTTTCCCAAAGGTTTGAACTAGGTTTGAACTAGGACTCTCCCTAGTGTAGGTCCAGTCGAGGTGTGACAAAGGGCAGGACGCAGCACTTGGCTGTGTCTCTGCAGGCTCCTCCCTGCCACAGAGGGTGATCTAGGCAGTCACCCAGCCAAGGCAATCCTCTTGCTCTGGACAACTGAGGCAGCACAGGAGCATTTAGAAGGTGCCCTGGAGAAGGGTGGGATGGAAGCTGGGGATCCTTCCCTCCTGTGCACTGTGTTAGGGGGCACAGTGCATCTGCTGACCGAGATAGAGGCCTCAGCCACCCAAAAGCAATCCAGCTGACTGCTTTCTGGGGTGAGATCCCCTTTTCTACTTGAAGAATTTCACAATTCCTTCCAGAAATTCAGCATGTCTCCCTCACCTTATCCTTCTGCCAGGACCCGGTGACTCGGCTCCGCAGGGAGCTCAGGCGTCGCATCACCTTCGTGCCTTTCTCTGCTTTATCGCTCTTCCCACTCTCCTCATTTCTGAAATAAAACAAAATCTTAATGAAGGGGAAGTCCACTGGCCAAGCCCAGCTCAGGGAGATCACTGATGAAGGTCATTACTCTAGAATCCCTTTCCATCTCCTGGAGGATCTGGTTTGGCGTCAGCCATGCCATTCATTAATGAGGCACTTGCAAAAAAGGAGCTGAACTTTCAAAAGTTCTGTCTGTGCCTGTGGTGCTATTCAGTGATCCTGGCTGAACCCCTGCAATACCAGTGTTCTGCACTCAGGATTAGCAGGGCAGTAGAGCTTAGATGGAGGGGGGCTCGAAATCAATCTGCTCTGGGAACATGAAGTGTGTGGGTTTCCCTCTGTGTCACTTACTCGTTAGACAGGAACTCAAACCAAGTGATGTTCTGCTGGGAAGAGTCGCTGCCTTCTTGCACACAAGCTCTCTGCTTTGCCCTGGGCAGGGAAAAAGCATCAGACACACAGCAAAGAACACAAGAGCACAACTTCTGGGTCAGCACAAAGTCTCGTCTTTGGAGGTTGGGGCAGGAACACCTTTAGAGTTACAGAAGAGGCACGTGAAATGTCCCTTCTCCTTGCAATCCTGCCATAGTTTCACTGGAAGGAATCAGTGATTCTGGTACCCTGGGGGTTTGCCCCTCAAGGAACTGAGTGGCCTTTGCCAGAGGGATCCTGTGACATCCCCACCCACGTCCCTCTCCCACACACACTTACCCATGGTAATGTTTCAGCTCCTGAAGAACCTTCTGGACATTTAAGCTACCAGGGACAGGGCAAGAGAAAAGGGAGGGATTAGAAAATCCTTGCACAGGCATCCTGCACCCCACAAAGCCTCAAGTGCTGGTTTAAGAGCAGCTACTCAGCTGTGCCCCAGCATGGAGTGGGATCTCCGTTGCTGTTGCATCCCCAGTAACTCAGATACACCCAAGAATCTCCTTTCTCTCCGAACAGCCAGGACTGACAATACCTACACATGGTCTGGGGACACGTGGTCCTTCTCCAGCACCTCCAGAGCAGGGGGCTCAACACCTGGAACACAAAATGCTCTCAGCAGGGAACCTGGTTTACCTTTGTAGAACACCACATTGCAAGATACACAACTGGACCCTGTTCATCTTGCTGGGCTCCCACTCTGCCTTTAATGAGGAGGAAGAAATGCTGGGAGCAGTCAGGGAGGAAGAAGCTGCTCTGCATTCCTGTGGGTGAGGTGAGGGCTACATCATTTTCTGTGTTACCCCTCCCCTCTCCAGTCTGTGTTAAAGTAACTACTGAGGATCCTGCTTTGCAGCCCAGGGGTTGGAGCTGATCCCACCCCAGAGACCCTCCACGTGACATCCAGTTTCCCCTCCACTTCCCAGGCTGTGCTGTTAAGTCTCTACATTTATCTCTGGACCAATCCTCACATGTGGGCCTTGTGTGGGTAGGGAGTGACCAACACACTGCCACAGAGAGCTCGTGTGACATTGTGTCACTGGGGACAGGCATGTCTGGGCTGAGACTGCACTGTTGGCCAGGGCCAGACTCAAAGTCAGCTTGGCTCTGTCTTTCTGCAGCTCCTGGGACCACATGGAAGGGTAAGCAGGGGATGTCCAGCCTTGCAGAGTTTACAGCTCCAGCTTTTTATCTTCTCAATCACCCCTTGCACTCATTTAATGCCGTAGATATAGCCTGTACCAACCTTCCACAACTGCAAGAGAAGTGTTGAAGCTGAGAGGTATCTGAGGGGAGGCAGCGGTCTCACAGGCTGCTGGGACAGACTTGGACCTCAGTCTCTTCCCACTGCCGACACATTTCTGGAAAAGTAAAAATCATGGACATCTTTGGTGGTTTGTGCACCAAGGGAGGCTCCATCACAGCTCATTCCTCACCCCTTGCCTCCTGTTTTGTCAGGGTTATGATGCAGGACACATTAGGCCCAGCTGTTTGCTGGCCTCAGGTCTGGGCTCCAGGGAGGCTGGAGCAAGTGACACTTGAGGCTGAAACCTTCTTAGGCATTTCTCACTTTTTAGAACATGTAGCAATTGTCCTTTTAATATTCACTGAGTCCAAAGAAGGGGAGTGACACTCCTGCCTTCAACTCACTGACATAGAGTAGATGGAGCCAGACTCTTCTTACAGGTGCACAGTGACAGGAAAAGAGGCACCAGGCACAGGCTGCATTAAGGGAAATTCCAGCCAGATATATGGGAAAAGAGGGCTGTGCTTCAGCTCAGCTGTGCTGCCACCTCCCAGGGCCTTTCTCCTGCAAGATGGGGCAGTTTGTCCTGGAGCACAGAAGGTCCATCCTTGCTGAGATCCCTGCAGACCTCCTGGCATACCTGCTTTGATGCTGGCACTGACAGAGCCCAGCCTGCAGCTGCCCCTTCTGCCCCCCCAGCTCTCCCTGCACAGCCCTCCCCACTCACCACCTCCTGCAGGCCGAGGCCCACCGTGAGCTTGGGGAGCAGCGGCTCTATCTCCACTTTGATCACTGTGCCAGCCCTGCTGCTGCTCCAGGCTCCCAGCCCCGCTTTGGGCAGCTCAAGGGACACGTGAGGCTGCGGGCAGGGCTGGCTCCTCTTCTCCACATCCTCCTGCTCGGGGTCGCTGCCCATCTCTGTGACATCCAGGCTGAACCTGAGCAGGGAGGGAGGAAGAAGCCAGTTTAGCAGACCTGTCCCAGTGTGCCAGGCATGGCACAGCCCCTGCAGTGGCCTTGGGTGGGTGGTCCTAAAGAGCTCGTGCAGCTGGGACAAGGAGGCTCACCCCAGCAGGCACACTGGAAAAGGAAATGCCAGGAAGCGTCAGCCTGGACATCAAGTCCTGAGCCTGTTCAAAACAGCTCCTCTGGCTGCCATCAGCGAGTCCCTCAGCTCCTTGGTCACCCAGGATGTTTGGTGCTGGATGGCTCACACTCATCTCTTAGCAACCCCTGAGACTGTGCAGCCACCCAGGCTGCAGCCTGGCCTGCCTGCCCTGTCAGCTGCCCCGCCAGAGAAGTCCCTCTGGGCATTTAGAAGTGGCAGATGATGCTGTTTTATCGCATCACCACTGCGGCAGCATGTCGTAAATCCTGCTCCCACCAGGGCCCAGCTTCGTGGAAGCAAAAAGAAATTATTTTCTGGGAAATGAGGGGTGGACCAGCTCCCCCAGAGCCCCACAATGTCCTGCACACTGAGTGCTGTTGCAGTGCCAACAGCACGGGAGCAAAACCACGGATAGAGCTGAGTGGAAAATCTTAGTCTCTTCATGGGTTCTGTCTGCAGATCACTGTCACCTCATTCCTGCTGCCACAGGCAGGCTTCAGGGAGTGTTTGCTTAGGGAACAGTGGGGCATATTCCCCTTCCCTGGCCCCGTGCTCATCTGTCCTTCATCACCCAGCGAGGGGACAGAACATGTCCCTGGCACAGCTGCTCCAGGCTGCTGTTCCTCCTGTGCCTGTTCCAGCATAAACTGTCAATGAGCCACGGCACATGGGGCAACAATAGGACTTGAGAACCAAAGCCTGAGCTTGATAAGGAACTGCCAAGATTTCAGGCTGAGATAATTTTAGGGTACCATATAAGGAGGAGAGATAAAAATAGTCCTTGCTGGCTTGCACCTAAATCCCAGTCAGCTGGGAGATCAATACATTTGTCAGCAGGGAAAGCATTCCTGTAGGAACCTGGAGGTGAAGGCATTCATGTGGCAGGAGCAGAGGATGGCAGGAATGCCAGGACTGACTCTGCTCCCAGAGCTCAGCATCCTGCTACAAAACACATCCTCCTCTGCAGCCACGTGGAGGGCAGAGGGCTGGAGGACACAGAATCACAGAACATGCTGAGTTGGAAGGGACCCACGAGGATCATCCAGTCCAATCCTCAGCCCTGCACAGGACACCTCAGGAGTCACACCCTGTGCCCCAGAGGATCATCCAAACACTCCTGGAGCTCTGGCAGCCTTGGGGCTGTGCCCACTGCCCTGAGGAGCCTGTTCAGTGCCAACCACCCTCTGGGGGAAGAACCTTTTTCTAATATCCAACCTCAACCTCGCCTGACACAACTCCAGGCTGTTCCCTCATGGTGATTGCAGGCACAGACCTCACCAAGCCAACTCACAGACAAGAAGAAAAAGGATTTGACAGAGCTCTCTTAATCTCTCTGTGATGGGAAAAATTCCCTTTGAGCCAGAGGATGGAGGTCATCGGGGCAGCTGATGCTGTTTAAGGTCACCTCCAGACAGAAATGAGTTCTCTCCAGATGAGAGATCCTCATCCCGGCCTCAAGGACCTTCCTACTGCCAAAGAGACACTAAATCCTCTTGCTGCTCTGGCATCTGCTCCTCCACATCACACCCAACGTGAGCAGTGGGCGTCCAGCTGCTCTGGCAGATGCTGACAAGTGAGGGAGACCACCCAGCAGCGGCCCCAGCCTCACACACCGTCACTTGCCCTGTGCACATCAAAGATCTCTCACGGCCCCGCTGTACCTGCGCTTGCAGCCCACGGGTGACAAAGGGCTCTCCCAGCTGTGCCTCCGAGATGTGGACATGGATCTCACCAGCGTGGGGAAGGAATCCTGGGCCTCCTGCAGGTCCAGCTCCTTGTCTGCCTCTGCAGGACGCTCAGGGGTGCTGGTCCCATCTCCTGGCCCTGCTGCACAGGGGCACACGTGGCCTTTGTGGAGAAAGCGGCAGTCGGCCTGGCCGTAACGCATCACGCAGGAAACGGGCTTGGAGAAAGCAACATCCACGGACAGCTTGCTCAGAGTTCCTGGTCTCTCTTCCAATAAGCAAACAGCAGGCACGGCCTGGGGTCCTTCTTCTGGCTGTGGTGCCGTCTCTGGAGCTGTTTTGGCAACGGGCAGGCTCAGGAGCCCCAGGTCTTTGTAATACTCAGTGCCGTGGAGAGCGGAGTCTGAGAGGAGATCCTCCGTGCTGCTGTGCAGGTCTGCTGCTGGCACATCCAGCTCTGTGGAAGAGGAGTCCTCCTGCAAAGGCAGCACAAATCCCACCTGAGAGCCTTGCAGTGATCCATGCAGAACTCAGGGTGCAGAGCAGGGCCAGACTTGCAGATGTGTTTCTCAAACCAGACTTTCTAACAGCAGCCCTCTCCTACTGTCCCTCAAAGCCAGACCTGCCCCAGCCTCACCACCTCTGGGTCCCTCTGTGCCTTATTCCCCCCCAACACCAATACAAAGCACTCAGGGATGATTTTTCCCAGCAACAGAAGCCGCTCTCCATCATTTCCCAACAGCCCTGGCTCACTGGGGGGGTCCCAGGTAATTGGAAGTTGGTGAACGTCACACCAATCCACAAAAAATGCTGGAAGGAGGACCTGAGAAACTCCAGGCCTGTCAGCCTGACCTCAGTGCCTGGCAAGGCTATGGAGCAGATCATCCTGAGTGCAATAACACAGCACCTACAGGATGGACAAGGGATCAGAGCCAGCCAGCACGGGGTTAGGAAGGGCAGGTCCTGTCTGACCAACCTGATCTCATTTTATGACCAGGTGACCCGCCTGGTGGATGAGGTCCTTTCCAACCTGGCTGATTCTGTGGTTCTATGATAACCTTGTATTCCCTGACAGTCTGGATCACCCCTTTCCCCCATTCTTACTCTGGATGTGGAGCTGACCAGCCAGCTTGCTGAGCCTGGCTCCTGCCTCGTGGAACAGCAGAAGGAAAGAGGACACTTGCCTTCTCTTCAGCCATGCTGGTGCAGGAGGAGTCATCCTCAGCAATCAGGGATGGGAGGAAGCTTTTGGGGGTGGGATACTCCAAAGCAGGAGCGCGGTGATCAGTGAATTCCCGTAAACATGGCTTGCAGTCAGACCCTGCAAGACAGAGAAGGTCACAGCAGGTAACCAGACAGCTGGGAGAGATGGAAAATCATCTGCTTCCTTGCCCCTTAAAGACAGGCAGTGCCAGGCAATCTCTGGACCACAGCAGCTTTGATCCTGGTGCAGGGATTCCCTGACAGCAGAAATCTCATCCCTTGAGCTGCACCATGTGCAAGGACAGACACCAGGCTTGCACCGTCCCAGTCAGACCCATGTAGGATGTCCCGTGCTGCAGAGGCCACTTCCACAGGAAAAGAAGGCTCCAGCACATTTTGATGGCTGTTGTTGATATTACGGACCTTGGAAGCAGAAATCTAGGGATAAAAATACTGTCAGAGATTTTCTGTTCATCCTTAAGGAACAAAGGATGCCTCTGGGAGGCAGATTGGAAGCACATTATTGACTCCAGGCAGCACTGAATGTGCAGAGCACCAGTGGGAGCACAGCTCACTCCCTGGGATTTTCCCTTCCCAGGAGTGTGAACCTGAGTGTGTGCTCACCACCTGGTACCTCACTGAGAAGCAAAGCCATGGGCTGGATGTGTTTCATGGGACAACAGATCTTCCAGCTGAGTGAGGCCCATTCCTACAGAACCAGACACACTGTGAACCTCAGCCACAACCTCTAAACCACTGCATGACTCACAGAGGTCTTTTTGTTCCTTTGGGATACACAGACAGGCTGAAGAACCATGGTGGACCTCTGAAGATGCAGAGAACAACAGCAAGAGACTGTCAGTGGCCATATCTATCCAGTAGGAAAAAAACAGCAGGAAACTGCTAGAAACCCCTCACACACCAGGAAAGCCAAGTATAAAAACATGAAAGTGAGGAAGACATTGTTAAGAAACACACTCTTGGAAATCTTGCATCCTGCTGGGGGTTATAAAGCTCCACAATTCAGCCAGGAATTGCGTGGTGCCAACTGAAAAAAGGCAGCAAACGTGAGGGATAGCTGGGCTGTTTGTTCCTTGGATCCCACTGCACACTGCAGATGCCAGATTTTCTGTTTTAAGGGGTGTTTGGTGTGTTTAAATGTCTGTGGTGATTTCAAGTGAGGGACTATAAATAATACAGAAAGAAAACACTCTGTGAAGGCACTATTTTAATTAAGGGCCTTCTGAGCTGTAAGAACAGGGAAAATTTGAAACAGGCTTTCTAGCAAGGTTGTAAAATTTCCTTCACAAGACATTTTTAATGAATAAACAGAATCTTGTCCAGGGTGTCCCTGAGCTGCATCTGCAAATGGCAGGAGTTTAGTGAGCTACTGAACGTCACCTTTTGCTTTCCTTGAATTCATCTGGATTCAGCTTGTAACGAAAAATCAGCTTTTTGAGGTCAATGCACCTTTAAACCAGCACAGGTTTTGGCATGAGCTTGTAAGAAACAGCACCTAAAAGTGTCAGTTGGCAGTAAAAGCCACTGAAGTACCCAAACAGGCTGGGATGAAGGATAAGGAAGAACGGACCCAAGGGAAGCAACCAGGAGGTGGGGAAGGTTCCAGGGGGACCAGGACCCTCATACAAGTCAAAAGAAGGAAGGAAAAGGAGATTCCTTGTTCTCTCCATCCCTTCAGGAGTGAACTACCCACGGGCAGAGCAGCAAAGCCCCAGGAGGCAGCAGGAATTTGGCTGCTGGAGCTGACAAGGACTGTGGCCTGACAGAGGCCAGAGCACTGGCCCACAGGTTTAGCTAAAACAAAGAGTTTTTTCCTCCCATTCCAGGTCCAGCCGTCCCGCCAAGGCCACCCTGGGCCCGCCCGAGGCTCCAAAGTAGATCCCTGGAACAGAGTCAGCTCCTCGGGGGCCTGGAAAATATTCCCTGTGCTCCGCCTGTGCCACGCAGGGCTCAGGATTCGGCCAAAGGCATGGGCTGCAGTCAGCAGAGCCCCTCCAGACCCACCAAAGGACTTAAATCCTCCTCCTCAGCTTCAGACAGCCGGTTCAGCAGGCGATAAATCAGCTCGGGCGGTGGTGGCCGTGAGGCAGAGGCACGCGGTGCAGGGATGCAGCCATGGGGACACCATTTTAGGCAATGTGTGAGCACCAGCCACAGCAATTCCAGGGCTCCCACATCTCAGCCTCAGCCAGTTGATGCTGGGCTGGCACCAGGAGCAGAGCTGAGCTGTGGTGGGGGCAAGGGGGTGATGGAGGGTTGGGGGATGACGAGCAAGGAAGGAGCGGCGTGGGGCACGCACAGGAGGGATGCAGGTTTGGGGGGCTGTGAACATCCCTACATCCACCATCAAGGTGGTCAGCCAGTATCAGCAAGTGTGGCAAACTCTGGAGCCCCTTGAGTCTCTTGGACTGTGCACTCAGGCCTGTTTGGAAGGATCCACGTCCAGCATGCTGATAAGGGGATGGGGAATCTCGGCCCCCCAGGCACTGGCAGACAGCAGCAGTCACCTTCCCTCAGCTGAAGCTGGAGATGGGATGACAAAATGACACTTTCAAGAACAAATGCTGTTTGCTTTAGGAGAACATTAAGCAGATTAGGTATTGCAGTTGCTTAACTCGCCTCTGGCCAGGAACCATAAAAGGTTATAGCTGAAGGGAGAAGCCTCCTCAGAGGAATTCCCAGGGCAGAGCTGGGGAGGAAGCTGGGCTGGGATGGTACCTGCACTTTGCCAGAGCTTCCCACGGGTGAAACATGAGGGCTCTGGGCTGCTGGGTGGGGAGGAAGGAAGCAGTGACAGGTGCCCAGTGCATGTGCCAGTCTGGGGCAGTCCCGGGAGTTCTGATGCTGTGGGCACAGTGGGATCAGCTGGATGAGCTCTCCTGGCTGTGACTCTGTGCAAGGCCACTGGGAACCCAACAGAGACTTTAATAATTCCAACTCAGACCTACAGTCAAACCCTCCCTCCTACAACCACCTCTGCTGCTTTCCCTCGGACGGGCTGGTCACTGGAGATGCACCCACGAGTGTCCCAGCAGGTGACAGCACCAGAGCAGCCAGCACTGGAGGGATCTCTGCCAGCAGGGTCCTGTCCTCACCTGCCCCCAGCTCGGTGCAGGATGCTACAGGACCCCAAGTGACCCTGGAGCCAGGCTGGCTCTGGCAGGGACCACGTCAGAGGAAGAAGGGACGGGAGCTCTCACCACGCCAGTCACATCCTCCAACATCAAACACTGCCTGCCTTCCCAGCAGGGAAAGGCCACACCAAATGCCTTGGGACAAAGGCACTGGGCAGTTCTGCTGCGTGAAACGATCCCAGGAGGAAGGAAAGACAAGAATGTCTGGGCATTTCCCAGCAGCCAGGATAGAGACTGTTGGGAAAGCACAGGGAGCATCACGGACAAGACAAAAAAGGGATTCCATCTCCCCCTGGCCCCTGCCCTGCTGGCCCTGCACCAGCTGCCTGTGCTGGAGGATGTCCAGAGCTATAGGGAAGAACCTCAGGAAAGCAAGTGCTGAACTCCCTGTGCCAAAATGGTCTGAGGGGCAGTCCCTGGCCTGGTCTGGGCCCCTCATTGCGTTGGCAGTGGTGGGGATTGGCTCCTGCAGCCCAGCCAGGGGGAGGATAAACTGTCCCACAGTGTAACACACTGCACAGGGAGCTGCTGCCTTATCACCCTGCCTGGGGCCTGGCTGGTGGGCACAGAGGGCAGAGGAGCAGGGAGCCAGCACTGTTTTCTGCTCACTCTCAGCTGAAAGGTCTTGGCAGGGCTGAGGGGGATTTGCAGCCCCTCTGATTCCCTCCTGAGTGAGACCCCAGTGTTTTGTGCCCACAGCACAGGACCCATCGGGACAAACTGCTCTGAAAGCGCATGCTGAGAGGAGCTGATTCCACCCAGGTCCTCTCCAAAGCAGTCAGTGCTTGAGAGCACCACAAGGCTGATTCATTTGTCAGAGAAATCAGCCCACCTGAGCCTTCCCAGTGAGCACATAACCACCCACCCCAGCACTGGGGAGGCTGGAGGGGGGTGTCCAGCTGGAGCTTGGGGCTCATCACACATCAGAGCCTGCATGACCCTTCCTCCTGCTCTGACCTGACATTCCTTCAAGTGTTCAGTTCGGATCTTGGTCTCCTGCACATCCAAGTCAGAAGAGAAATGGGAGGGGTGGAGGAATAATGGAGGAGAAAGAGTGCCAGGAGCTCTAATGCCACAGGTAAAGACACCCAACATCAGCAGCCTGAAGCAGTGCTTGCAGGCAAACAGTGTCCAGCAGTGTCCAGCTCCTCTGGGACTGCAAATGTCAAGGCTCTCACTTCCCTATTTCCAAGTCATGGCACCACATGCAGGAATGAGGCCAGTTCACACCACTGCTGTCACTTCCCATCCCTGCTGCTGGACACTGGGAAGCCCAGCCAGGGCCACCCAAACCTCACAGCTCTGGCTGTGCTCGCCAGCCCTCGCTGGAAGACCAGAGGAATCTTTCCCCAGCATCTGCTCAAACCCCAAGCTCTCTGCAGGCAGCGTGCAGAGACAGCTGTCTGCAAGAACCAGGACCTCCAGCTCACTGCCAGCCACGAAACAAACTTAATACAAAACCAGAGGGCTGAGATTTAACCCATTCCCCAGCTCCCCAAGGCATTTATGTGCCTTGAAGAGAAGATGAAGCGGAACAAAAAGCATTAACCAGCACTTAGGAAGCAGCCCCTGCAGGGAGGAGGGGGAGCACCCCAAAACAAGCTCTGCTTGGGCACCCCAGTGCTTTTTGGTACCTGCTCAGCCCAGGCTGTCCCCCTGTCCCGCAGCAGCCCAGCTCCCACCACGCTCTCAGCCCGCTCTCCTCACACACCGGGCCGTTACCTCGCTTAAAGGACCATCTCTTCTTCCAGCGCTTGGAAAACGACGGCCAGGAGTGGTTGAGCAGCGAGTCTGACATTGGGGAGCCCCGTGCAAGGAACAGCCCCGAGCAGGAGACGCCAGCGCGGAGCTCGGAGCGCTCTCAGGCAGCGCTGCAGCCCAGGGGCTGCCAAGGGGGGAGCGCAGGAGCCAAGTGTTTTGTCAGAAGCATCAGCTGATGGAAGCTGCGGCCAGGGAGAAATTCCTGGTCCCTGGCGTTCCCACCTGTGTGACGGGTCAGGGACTTCCTACGGCCCGACCTGGGCATCGGCAGCCCCGGAACACACGCACAGCTCCCGAGCGCTGCCCGGGGCTTGCAGGCAGACACAGAAAACACGCTGTGAGCGCAACACAACCCCCTTCCCCTCTGCCAGAGCCTCCCTGCTCCGTTCATGGCTGGCAGCTGTCAGCATGGCAAATCACCACCTTCCAGGCTGCTCTGCAGGAGCAGAACCTGAAGGGGCACGTGGGTGAGAGCCACCTTCAGTGCAGAGTGAGAGTTAAGACCACAGGCTTGACGTTTGCGCCTTTGTTCTTGGTTTCAAGCGCTGTGGTAGAACCCCTGCAAGGGACCGCGTGAAACCCTGTCCTTCTGCAACACCAGCACCCTCCTGCAGTTTGCAGCAAGTCCCTATCCCCTGGCACGGACCTTTCTCCAAGCCCTCCTCAGCTCTCCCACACAGGCAGGCAGGTGGGAGCAATCTCAGCCAAGTCCAAACTGCCCCAAGAGACCGAATTCCCCCCCCACAAGGTCTCCAAGGCCACTACTCCTGACTGGCACCACCCCCACAGCCAAGACTGGCTCCAAAGTTTGCTCCCAAGCCCTCGATTAGGCTGAAGAAGCCAAGTTTTACCCCAGTGAAGCTGCTGGGCTCTCTGGCCAGACCAAACCTCCTCCGTGTTGTTTACCTGACACTTGTGGCCTCACTGAGCAGAGCCCAGCCAGTTTGGGAACAACCACAGGCACCTCCTGGCTTGGAGCCCGGGCTGGGCTGGTGTTGTGCAAAGGCAGGTGGCAAAAACCATTCCCCTCACCTGGCCACAAAGCCCAAAGTGCCATCAGTACAGCCCTCCCCACATCCCCTCTGCTTCCATCTCCCCAGTAACGTGGGTGCCCTGGAGTGGGCAGTTTGGAGTGGAATTTGGGGCTCCCAGGCACGGACCCCTCTTGTGCCCAGCCCAAAACCCAGCTGTGGGCAGTGCCAGGGCGTCTTTGCAAACCTTCAGCTGTGGCACAGCAGCATCAGGAGCCAAGAGCAGCACCCGAGGGGTGCTCAGCCAGCCCAGAACTGCCCCAGAATCAACCATGGGGATGCACTGGGGGTTAAACCCCGACCTCGTCTCCTCTCTTCGCTCCCAGCAGAGCGAAGCTCCCCGTGAGCTCAGACTCCCAGCCCACGCCGTGCCCTCCAGCCCGTGCAGGGGGGGAGGCTGCACAAAACCCAGCACTGGCACTTTTGGCTTCAGGACAAGCTGCTTCCTCACAAGGCCTTGAGGATGATGAGTGACAACCCCGCTGTTGTGGCACGGAGCCACATGTGCGGGGAGCGACTTACCCTGAGGGCTGGAGGAGTCCCTGGGGTGGGTTCCCTGTGCACGTCTGGATCCCGCAGCCCCCGCAGCTTCTTCTCCAGCACAGCGAGGAGCGGAGCCTTGGGGAGGGAGCAGCGGCCATGAGGGTGGTTTGCTCACGAGGGCTGTTGGCTCAACCCCCTCACCGCTTCCCCTTTCCGACGGCACAAACAAACCCACCTCTCCCCTGCTGCCTTTCCCACAGCAGCGGCCCCAGCGCTGCCCCAGCAATCCCTCCCACCCTCCCGAGGGCCTGGGCTCCGGGAGGGTCCAGCAGAGTCTCCAGCACAGTCCCCAGCGGGGTTGTGAACCCCCAGAAACCCAGCAGAGGCCCTGGGAGCTGCTGAGCTCGCAATGGCTGCGAAGGAACAGCTATTGCCACAACTGCTTCCTGTTGCCTTCAGAGAAAAACCACTCTGTGTGTGTGTGTGTGCCACGAGAACCCGGCACACCCAGCCCAGCCCAGGGGCTCCCTGCACCATCTGAGCCTCCCAGAGCTCCTGTGAACGAGTCCCTTGTCTTGGCTGCCGTGGTGGGACCTTGGGCTGCAGCAGAGACCCCAAGGCCAGCAGGTCTCAGTCCCGCACAGGATGAAGCGATAGCAAAGCACGGCAATGCCTGTGCTGGCCATGTTCATCCAGGCAGTGAGAGACAGGGACTTCAGCTCCAGGGCCAGGGGGGTGATGGCCCTGCCCTTGGTTCAGGCTCAGGTTTGTCCACACAGCCATTCCCTCCTTCCCAAGGAGCCCCGTGGCTGATGCACACATGCTGCTCATCCCAGAGCCCCAAGCCAAGCCCTAATCAGAACAAGATCCACTCACACTCCAATTACTCAGAGACCGCAGCTTTGGCAGCACTTAGAATAGCAATTACCCCGTGCTCCAGGAAACCACAAGAGCAAAGAGGAATTAAGGTTTAATTTCTCTGAAGTCCACAAGAGCTCGATTAGCATCAGAGATCAGGGCTGATCCCAAACACCAGGCAGCTGCTCCAGCTGATGGGATGGTGAGTTGTCCTCGGCTCAAATGAGGACAAGCTCTTTTCCTCCTGCCACGTGTCTGACACAGTATGGGGGTTGCCAAAGCTGAGCTGTGCAGGCAGCCTGGAAGAGGGATGAGGGATAAGGGCAGGAGGGGTGGCTGAGCCTCAGCAGCCTCCCCATGGCATCTTAGAGAGCCCAGCAGGCAGCAAAGCTCCCAGGACAGCAAGTTCAAGCTTTGTGGCTTTGCTTAATTTTGCATTGGAGAACCAGGAGCAGCTGAGGGAGCTGGAGGGGCTCAGGCTGGAGAAAAGGAGGCTCAGGGGGGACCTTCTGGCTCTGCAACTCCCTGACAGGAGGGGGGAGCCGGGGGGGGGTCAGGCTCTGCTCCCAGGGAACAGGGACAGGAGGAGAGGGAACAGCCTCCAGCTGTGCCAGGGAGGTTGAGGCTGGGCATCAGGAGAAACATCACTGAAAGGGTTGCCAGGCATTGGAAGGGGCTGCCCAGGGAGGTGGTGGAGTCACCACCCATGAAGTGTTTTTGCTTTTACAACAACTCACTGCATGGGTGTCCAACTCCCTGTGTCCTCCTGAGGGGCAAGACAGGGAGCAGAACTCCACATGTGTCCAAACCAGACTCCAAGTCCAGGCAAGGAAAGAGCCACTAGCAGGGCTGGGGCAGGAAGAGCTAGGGCCAGAGCAGCTGTCAGGGAGGAGCTCAGCAAACCACACTGTGGCTGGGTGGGAGTCAGGGGGAAGGAAATATTAAGCCATCAAATTGACTCCACCAGCTGCTGGGCTGCACCACGCCACCTGGCTGGCAGCCCCACGAGGAGCTGGCACCAGCAGCAGCTCCTGCTCCTGCTGAAATGGCCCTGGCAATCTCACCTGGGTGATGGCACTGGAAGGAAGGCAAGCAGGACACCGTCACTGAGCGGCTACGGAGAGGGAGAACGAGTCCCTCTCCTCGTTGGTGCAGCTGATCAGGAGGGAAATCTTGGCCTTGGTGAAACAAAACCAGGTTTAAATCAGGAAGATCTGACACACCAGAAGGGGCCTGGGCAGGACAGGAGGTTCCTAGTGCACCCCCTGTTCCAGCAGCTCCACCACAGGATGGGGGTGAAGCTGATCCTCTGACTCCTCTGCTTTAAAGCTGCCTGGGAGGAGTTTGTCCCCCTCTGAGGAGGGGAGATCTGGTCCATTCACAGGAAATAAGAGAATTACATCCCAGAGCCCCAGCTCTTGGTGCATCAGGCAGAAAGGAGCCATTGGTACCAATGTCCACCCGATGGCATCAGGCTGTTGATATCCCTGGGATGAGGGCACAGCCCATCAGGGAGAGTTCCACTGCCTTCCCACCACATGCCTAGAACTGGCAGATCTGTGTCATTTGGGTTTATTCCAAGGTATGAATTTAGTGCTTTCCCTATGGCAAAGCAGCCTTCAGGTGCTGCACAGACAGCAGACAAAAAAAATGAGCAGTTATTCTTGGATAATTTATTCAGAATTTTAATATAAACAGTTAATTGTTCAATACTCTGACACAGCAAGAATTTTTTCCCCAGTATTCAAAGATATTTTCTGTACATGTCACTGCTTGGCTCTTAGGTATGAAAACACTGAAAAAAAAATAAATCAAGGGGAAAGGTTTTTCTTTCTCTTCCTTTTAAAATTAAAAAAATCATGGCACATTTGATCCTTTATTTCAAACGAGAGGTATCTGCAGTAGTATTTGTATTCTGGAACCTTAGATATGCAGAGGGAAAGGTGGGAGCAGCAAGAATAAACTGGGAAAGAAAATAAAAAAAAAAAACCCCAAGGCCTCACAGAATATAATTTAACACGAAACTGTGGCTTATTTAAGTGCAAGCAAAGAGCATTTGCTCTGGGCTGTGTTTGATGAAGTCCCCCCATCCACGTGGGTCCTCAAACACAAAGCAGTTCTGATACTCCAGGAATAAAACCATTCCCCAAACTCAAGCCAAAGGTAACGCTCTCCCTGGTTAAATAACACCCTACTTTTCCAGATTTAGAGGTGGCCTTTCTAAAATTCTCCATCAGTTTTCTGTCACAGGAGAAGCCCCGGAAGTGGAGATGGTGGAAGCTTTGGAATCCTTCTGGGAGACTCTGAATTAACAGAGCTTTGGTGTCGAGTCCAGCTTGGAGCTCTCAGGTGATTAGTCCTAAGCTCGAGATTTACTGCTGGGACTTCCCAGGGGCTGGGGCTCAGCTAAGCACGAGCATCTGTGCCCACATTTAACCTCCACTGGCTCTTTAGCTGCCAGGACTACCCCAAGTCCTCCCAGCCACCTGCTCCCAAGGTACCTTCAGGGCTGAGAAAAGAAACTGTTTTAATCCCACCAGCTGGAACCTGGACTGGGAAAAAAAAAAACAACCCCACACCACCAGGAATAGAATTTTTTGCTGATTGCAAACCTGCTGGCAAAAAAAAACGACGAGGCCGTGGGAGTTAATACTAACTTTATTAT